AATTTTAATAATGTTAATCTACCAGTATAGTCACACCTCATAATATTATTATTAATGTTTAACATTTTAACTCCACACTAAGAACAACCTCTAAGTGTCTAGGTGAAGGAGATGTACCTGAGGTATTTTGGTAACGCCTTCAAACTTATCAAATTCTGATTTGTCTAAATTTGTAAACAGAAGCTAATAAGGCTAGCTCACTTCCTGGGCTAGTCATATCTTAAGCCTGGTTCATGCTTCTCCATCAGCTCCGCAAGGGTCAGACACGCACGGATTGACGGAAGCGTTTTGCTTTCATACTTCTCCGTCTCCTGGAGAGTGTTACAACGCAATTCCCCGGCAGGACAACAGAGGGCGTAGCGCTGTTCTGTGGTATCCTGTCATGTATCGGTCCAAGATCGTGTGTTTATATTGTGTTTTTTGTGTATATAAGAAACTTTTAACACGGACATATTTGTCTCTCATTCTCCCACCTCTTCATGCGCTCCCCACCTCTAAACCCACGTTTCCTGTCATTTCCGTCCACAAATAAAACGCTTGCTGCGCATCTTTTCACTCCTCCAGTCACGGGAGAATTAAACGTTCATATTTTTAGAGTTTTTTCGCGAGGTATTCTTCAAGCTTCTCCGTGTCTGCCGCTAGTTATCCCCGGCTCTCTTTGCAATGGCGGCGCTGGAAACAACAGCGGTGTCCTGACCAATCACAAGCTTGCTTAATCCGTCTCGTTCGACGGATGTTTAAAAAAGTGGGCTCGACTCCGTACGTACTTGCGTGCCTGCCAGAGCCCTACGCAAGGACGGATATTGGCGTTGCGCGTCTCCGCACTGACGCAGACGGAGAAGCATAAATCAGGCTTTAGCCAGCTTACTCGGTCGGTTAGGCTGACCAGGTGAGCAAAGCACTTGGAAGCATCCTCTCCTTTGACCCCAAGGTCAAAGCCTCTCTGCAACGCTTGCGGGTGGCATCAGACACAACAACTCATCAGATGTGGGCTGTCTAACTAGCAGACACTGGTAGCATCTTACGGCCGGCGATAACTAAATTCGAAGGGAGCTACAACCTTTGAGATCCAGGAGCCACTTCCTTTATCACCAATCAGCCGGCCTTTCCTCCAGACCGTTCAAGAGCTGCCGTCCAACACAGGTATCGTACACAGGCACGCTGGCGTCGGATGGTTTTTCATGAATGATCTGTAGCTTGTTAAACCACACAGTCAAATTTGTTTCACAAGCCAGCTCTCACATCTCTCAGATACTTAACAAGGTTTTACTACAAAACGTCTGGCTTATTGCACCATTTCATTCATCGTCTGTTATCTTGTCCAACCATCATTCCTCATAACTTGTTCTGTCATCACTAGTTTAGAAACATAGAATTAAACTCAGTTTTATTCTGACTCTGTCTGAATTAATCTGAAGTGTGTGTTCCCTGAACAGTCCAAAGAACCGAAGGTAATATTAAATCAAACATTCAAAGACCAATCAGATTGATAATTCATATCTATATGGAATATCACATCTTATTGATCCTTTAATAAGTGTAGCTAATCTACCACGCTGCAGCGTACTTATTTACCTTCTGACGTTAGTGTGTGAGTCTATTGTTCAGTGTGTGTGCCTAATGATGTCATGAGCTCCACCGGATGAACTCACTACCTGATGACATCACTGCCACGGGCTTCCTCTGCTGGATTGTCCTGGATTATTCTCCAGTGTTCCAGTGTTGCTGTCTTCCTGGTCTTCCACAGTGGCTGGTTCCTGCACGTGGACGTCGCTGTGGTTCAATTACACCTGTTGATTGGGATGATGCTGACGTCTGTTGTGTGGGGTGTTTGGATAACCTCGCTCTTCCACCAGCAGCTTCGTTACCCTGGATATATCACCAGCCTCTACGTCGTCCATAGGCTCTCTATTTCACCTGCAGCATGTGTGCTTAAAGGAACGCCATCTTCTCCTTCCTTGTGACCTTTCTACAACTGGTTCAAGGACACTGAGGTCTCCTACTTGTGACCTCAAGTCCTTGAAGGGGTATATGTAGCTTTTGGAAAAGGCCAACAAGGTCAACAACTTGCCCTACAAGTGTGCAGAGGTCATCTGACATGGACATGTCCAGCAGCATCTTCTGCCAGGAAAGCCGTTTACCTTCCCTAGCCTTTCCACCGGCAGGGGTAAGCCATAACGCTCCTCCCCCTTCCCCATGTGCTGGGATCTACAAGGTCTCCTCCAGTGATTTCTTTCACTCTACAGGTTGCTTACAATTATATTCTGTTTCATCTAAAGTGGTTTAATAAAGTCTCGAACAGCTTTACAGTAAATTATGTTTATTATTTCATGACTTATTTCAGATTAAATACATCAAATGAGTCTACTTGATGACTTAACGGCGATTTCTCATCAGTATATTCACATATTAATAAATTGACCTGTTTACTAAACGGATTAGGGAAATAAGCCTGTTCTGAGTGTCTGAGGAAAGTATGATGTTTGAGGACTCTTTGTTAACACCCGTTACATTTTCTGGCTTCTCATTTGTCCAAAACTTAGACACATAAAAACCTTAAAAGAGATCTCATATCCTCAGTCGGGGACTTCGAGCAGGCTGTCCAGTTCGGCCAAACTGTTTCAGCTGCATGAAGAACCATCATTTTCAAGACTAACAACTTCTTTCTGAGCCTGCGTCTGACCGCCAGCGGTCCCCAGAAGGTATCTTATGAGCAGCCATAACAGATTCAAAGTAGAACTACGAGCTTTGAATACCAGGGAAGTCAATTCCACCCGGCATCCTGGCCGAACTGACTTCGCCGTGCCCTGGATCGCCGAGAACCTTCATCACACAGGTTCAGAGAGTCTGCACGCTGGCGCTGGATGGTTATTATTGCTTTGATAACTTGTTAAACCTCATCAAACAATCAGCCATATTTGTTTTATAAAATCTAA